TTTAAATTTAAAACTCAGTGCTTTCAAAAAAACTTATTCTCATATGACATATGTCATCAGAAGGTGTCCTAAGTATAATTAACATCATAGTTTATAAGTAAGACTATAATTTTCAAAATAAAATACAAGAAAAATAAAATACTCACTGTCAGTAGTCTCCCAGCTTAATCCACCAACAAATAGTTTCCTATAAAGATAAAATAAAATTTAAATTAAATCAAATAGGTTTCCTTATGAAAATTAAATTTAAAAAAATATGAAAATGTTGAAAAATTTTGTAATTACATAAAGTTTGTAACTATTAGTTTATGATTAATTCAATACCAGTCACAATTTATATTTTAATTAATATTGAACTATTAGAATACTAAAATACTTTCGTGCAAAAATTCAAAAATAAAAAAAGACAATGAAGAACGAACATACCTATCATTTAAAGAATCCTGATTACCTCCAGTTGACCTGCAAAAGCAATGTAGTATATTTTATTATAACGTTCTTTGAAATTTATATTAATTTTTAGGACTAAGGTTGAAGCAAAAATTTAAGTTTTGTTACAAGTTATTTCCATTTATATTTGAAAAAGGAGTTTGACTTGACCCCTGGAAAAATTAGAATAAAAGTTAAAATATTAAAATTTAATATTGACAATATATAAGAAATGCAATAGTAGTAAATCATTTGGAAAAAGGGCACTGGATAAACTTTTAAAGACATTTTGGTAAGGAATTTTATTCGACGGGTAATGTATGCAATTTATTAAATGTTTCTTATGTATATAAATATAAATGTACTCATGTATAAATGTAATCTACAATTGATTAAGTGACCTACATTAATGTCTACTTTAAAATTTGGAAGAAAAACTTTGCAAAAGTAAAATTATCTTAATTTGATAGTATTAATAACACGAAAATACCTAGAATAAATTAACTCACTGATACAATCTTATATGAAAATTATGTCCTTAGTAAGAAACAACCATGAGAAGACTGCTTTGCACACCACATAGACCTTGATTTGAACTTCAGATAAATGTGTTTATCAACAAAAATTAAAGGAAAAACTTGGAAAAAAGTAGATATGTAAAAATTAACGCATTGAGAGAGCAAAGTACTTTTCACGATGTTCATGTGAACCCGAACAATAGTTATAACTCCAGTTGACATACAGCTGCTCCTAAAGGAAATAAAATTTAACTTTTCCAAGTTGAACTCTGACTGCTGATTGGCCCAAAGAATTGACATATGGTAGATAGACTGCAACTCTATTAAAAAGCTAAAAAAATTGTTTCCATATTACAAGTTAATGATGGTCACTTCTTCATACTTTTTAAATATCTATATGCACACAATATTTTATGTTTATTTATATATGTATATTTATATTTCTCTCTTTTTGTTTATTCATCAGCAAAATATTATATTTCCTGATATGCTTTTCAGCCTTTTCATATACAAATATAACAAGCTGCAATATTTTTCACTTTTCTGGCAGTGTGATGATAGTTGTCTGTACTTAGATTGATCTTTTCATATATCATCTAGGGCTGGTGATAAATACCGTAGGCACCAGTCACTCGCCGGTAATCAGTTGTTGGTCGGGTCACGGTTAGCCGGTTGCGAGCCGCCCGCCATAATCGCACTGGGTCGTTTGCCACCTGCAGATCAAGCCACATAAACTGGGTTAATGGCATTCCGACCTATCGGAGTTTTTCGCATTGGCCCTAGTGACTCTGTGCTTTGATCACGCCCAAACAGCATTGACATCTGATCAGAAATTACTCTACGCGTGACCCAGCAGGCAAGTGTGTGTCTGTGCGAGACTTATTGATCTGACGTAATTGACTCGACTTCCAGTGCTTGTGTTGTGACGAAACATGACGGACTTGAACTTGACGTAGACTTCTCACAATAATTCAGACTCAGAAGTCAATCATAAGGCTTCACGGTTCAGTTCACAGATCCCAGGTAAGCGTACATATTGTCAATCGTGAAGAATTGACTAACCAGAATTCTGCTGCAATGAATCAATGAGGAAGACTCAGCTGGCCAAAAATGTATTTCAAAGTTTATGCTCTATAAAAATATTACAATTATTATTTGCGTAATATATAGAAATTTTTATCACTGATGAAATCACAACTTCTCTTTATCAATTACAAAACTAGAATAGAATTAACTAGGAAGGAGAGCAGAAATAAGGAGTTTACACAAAATTACAAAATTTTAAACAGATAAACGTATACCTCGCAACAACAGCACATATAAAGTCATAATACTTATAATTCTTATATGTATATAGTTACCTTATCATAATTTTGCAATAAAGAACATGCAATATTTAATTTTGTCTTTGTTTTTACTTGTATATTAAATTGATATAATAAACTAAGGAATGCCAGCTTTCAGTTATTTATTTTTGTTACCTCATGCATAGATATCACGTCCTTCAACACACATTTGTAGTTTTATAATGTTGGGGTGAGAGGAAGCACACCTCCAAATTCTTTATTCATTTTATATATTGTAATGGTACATGAAAGTGATTTTATATTTTTTGGATTCAATGTCTATGTATAGCTTTTTGGTTACATAAAAATGTAAATATTCATACATGTTTTACTAAATTTGAAGGTTACATCTTCTTTCCCAATATCAATTTAATAAAAATTTATTTCTACAAGTTACAATCTAAAGTAGCTTACCCATTTTGCAAAAACATACCCCAAACTATGTAAGAGTTTGTGACAATCCAAAGCTGCAGGGATACAAAGAAAAAAAAGTCGAATCCCTTAGGTATAGAACTAAAAATGCTGTGATAATAGTTAAGAGAATAAGAACGAACGTATGCGATATTACAAAATATTTACATAGACTGTGTCCGTACATCAATATTGACATCTAAACTCGTCGATGAGCAAACCGTCCAGCTTGAGATCTCGTTACGCTGAAAAAGGGTAAAGGCAAGGTGCTGTGCCACCAGCCACCAAAAATCCTTATAATCTATAAATATTTCTAATAAATATCACGACAATACTAAATAACCAATGATCATTGCGCATTACCCTCCCTGAATAATCTACATACTCATATTTACGTAATATGTATATAATTCAGTGTTCTGCTTTGACGCATCCAATGCATGTTGTACGTGAAGAACACGAGGACGTGATACGATATATAATGGTAACAAAAAAACCGAAAAAAACGAGCCCAAGCAAAGTGTATCAAATCTATGCTTGAAATTTCTCGGTCTGACATAAAAATTTATTTTCTTATACGTTTACTTTGCAACAATGCGTGGGCGCGCCCTTTCTGAACTTGCGGCCGGCATTCCTTTCAATTTGACCGACTCACTTTCCTTTTTTTTTTTTCTTTTTTTTTGTTATTTATTGTTCTTTTGAGAAAGAAAGATTGATACCTAGGAATTCTTTATACTGCAGCAATGCAAAAGAAGTCAACTGCAATATTAGGAACGCTCGCTTTAGAATCGATGGGAACGGATTACATTATTCGGGGCCTCGCGCATCCGCCATTTTGTCATCGCGACAATCGTATCGCACAAAGCAACTCTCATTTGGAAGCTTTACTATATATTCCCGCGCGTTCAAAGTACCAAGTGAATCGAAGTCGATATTTTCGTAAAATAACGATTGATTTAATTGGAAGATCGAAATTTAAGATGAAAAGGGTTACCTGTCCTCTTGCGATTCTTGGCCATTTTCTGCGGCGTCCCCGCCGCCGTTTTCAGCTTCGCCGTTCTGCTCGAAGTTTTGATCGGCAATATCTTCGCTGAAGTCCTTATTCTCCTGATCGGCCATTATTTATTTTGCTTTGTTCTTACTATTTTATTAAAACACTTAAAACACAATTTGTAAATCGCGTTTTAACGAATAATTAAATACACTACACGAGCTAACAACACTCTCACGTCCGCACTGATCGGCCGCCGAATGGAGAAGGAAGAGGTACAACTTACGCTCCGTCTGACTCAGGAGATTCCGCGCAAAGCATCATGGATTCTCTTATACTTCTCCCCTAAACCCGTCCCTCAGCCAATCAGATTTTAGCACGCAGTATCGTACCTATAGTACTCGATGCCAAGTTAGTTTGCAATTTCCGAAAATGCGTTACTTCAACGTTCTTTACGTATAGCCATCAAGAAAAAAGAAATAATGTTTTTTCTACACTATTCGTTGCAATTAATCTTTGATAATTAGTTTCTTTAAATTTAAATAAAATCAAATAAAATTCGGGAAGTTGTAAAAAATAGATAATATGAAAAATAACATAATAAATGTTGATAAATCTTATTTTATAAATTGACCATCTATTTTAATTAAATCGATGAAATTAAATTTTATATCAGTTTTAAAATAAAATGTATTTTATTTTGTGTCTGAAAGCATGAAAAATTATATAGTTTCAGAGAATAATGCATCGCTAATATTTCATAGTATTGTTACGGTCCTGTTGCATCAATCGATGTTGCCGAGTATTTCAGTGGTGTTAAGGGGCAATAGTGAATACAATGGCATGCATACGAAAATTTTAGCCTCGCGTGGGGAATGGAGCGAAAACGAAGAGCCAATAAGATTCGTAGCAAGTGCTGAGTAATACATATCAGCCAATAAGAATTCGGTAAAGATCTGGCTCCATTCGGCATCATTTCCCAGAATTCTATGCGCGTAATTTGTAAGAAATCAATAAAATATTGCTTTTAAATTATATTTCATATTACTTCTTCGTGTTAATTTACATTGTTATATTTTTATTCTTATTACTTAATTATTATTCGTTACTTAAATATTTAAATAAAAAAGAGAATTCCATTTTCCTGCTGATGCCCAATAAAAGCGGGAAATGTTTACCGTTGATTCAGCGTTCTTATTGTAGACGCTAGTAGTTGGCGCTAGCGTCAACTTGGATGTTGCTACACTTCGCTCGTTCAATGGTCTATATTATTGTGTATATATGTACATATTTTTATACCTATATATATTCATGTTTATACCTATATTTTTATATATTACATGTATTGTAAAATTACAAGACTGAAATATTTGCTTGAACTCTTTAATTGAAGAATATATTTATATATTTTAAGGTGTTTGTATATTATTTATTTGTTATTGCAATAACAATAGTAGTTAAACATTATTATTATTGTTAATTAAATAATGTTCATTTAATCTATCGCTTAATTTAATTAGTATTTTGTTTATTCATTTAAAATGTATTTTCTAGAATAATCGATATTAAATATAAATATTTAATTAATTTAATTATTTTGTAAAGCGAGTATCTTACATCTCTAATAACGGTAACGTTTGTTTTTTGTTTATGAAGTATAGTTTATGATTTGCAAAATTTACAGATACTTACAGATTAAAATTTTTGTAATATCTAACACATCTAACATTTTGTCTTTTAGTTGTCCAAATGCCTGAAGAGCAGAAGGTAAATCCAGGATTTTCGTCACATTGAAAATACTATTACAGATGAAAAATACGTTTATTTTAAATGACTTTTCACGATGAACAAATACTCTCTCGGCCCATAGATTTTGAGGCTACAAGATGTTTGGCGTACTTGTAATAAAATACGAGCGGCGATATTTCGCGTGGGTTTTAACTTATGGGATTTTTACAAACCGTTAGATCCTAATAATAATTGTTTAATTTCAGGTATAGTTATACAATTTGCATTATTGAGTTAATTTGAAATTTTTAAAATACTTTTAATTGTATTTTTCAATTGTTTCATGATTTTCATGTTAAAGTTTTATTTTGCTTAGTATTATTATCTGTATTTTAATTTTTAGCAAATATTTAGTATTTACAGACATTATTCCACAAATATTGTGAATGATGATTATGAATTATATAATGTTGTTAATACGCAGAATCAAAATTTATTTCTGTATTGGCTGGACCGTTGAAGGATAAAATTGGTTTATCTGATAAAGAGATTTGCGATTTGGCCGATTATTTTCGCGTTCAAGATGGCCGAATATTTTACACACAGTTTTGCCAAATAATTCACGATAGTGGTACGTTTAATTTATAATTTTATATACATATATCGTAATATTAATATATAATATTACAAAAATATTAAATTTTCCATTTCACTGAAGATTGTAGTGACAGTAACGAATGTTAGAAGGAAGAAAATTTCATTTTATTAGCTATTTGAAATAGCTAAGTAAAACGATACTAAATTTTAGAATTTAAAAAGAAAGATACTGTGTTTCAAAAGAAAGGAATTCCTACTTATCTGGCATACTTGCCCCAGTACCGTTAAATGAACTCATTGTCCAGGCAAAATTGTTTCCTCTTCCAAATATTCGTTTGTAGTCGCTACCTAGCTTCTTAGCGAAGCATTAATATTAAAACTATTTCCACTGAATATACTGATATCGTATTGATATTTTTCGATTAGATTTTTATAATGTTATCAATGTTATCAATGTTATCAATGTTAGCAAAATTATATTGAAACCGAGTAAAAAGTAATGTTACAATTTACAATATTATAATTTATAATCGTTGAAATGTTTCATAAAGCAATATTGTACCAATCGACACTCTATTTTCTCAATACAAACATCGCATACATACATACATATATCCTTTCTTATATGTATATGCTTGGTAATAAAGTGAAGTGTATAAATGAAGATTGATTTTTTAAATCGGTGACGAGTACTGATGATCAAAATTTGACAATATTATAAACAGAGATTTTTGCTATTTATTAAATATTTACACACTATTGAATTATTGGATATATCTGGTATATGTACATTGGTTTCGATATAGCTCTGTTGATGCAACCAGAAGATATCAAAATCATATAGATTTTAAGTAATTGAATAAAACTTTATAGAACATTGCTAATTTTCATGTAGTTCCTGAATTTGATAAAAATGAACCGCTTGTAACTGGTTTGGAGTGGGAAGATCCAGAGCATGTAAATCGAATAAGTGCAACAGAACATCGAAAATTATGTCTTATACTCACTCAAATTGCAGTTCTTGTAAACAAAAGAAAATTGGTGTTGAGACCTTACTTTCAAGATTACGAATTGGTGCGAAAAATAACTTTTCACTGGAAAGAAAATATTGATAGATTTTTTTCATTGCATAATTTTATTACATTTTACTACATAATTAAGTGGTAAACATCAATTATTTATTTTTTAGATTGCAAAAAATGCTGGAACTATAACTTTCACGCATTTTGGACGAATCTTACAATTTTTAGGTATCGTTCTTGCTTCTGAAGAATTTTGTTTACTTGTAAAGAGATTCGCAAAAGATGCTTATACGATTAACTATGTGGCCTTCTTGAAAGCGATTGACGAAATTCAATCTTACTTTGATAAACATCAAATGCTGGCCCTTGGTGGAGTAATATTTTATCTTACATTATATTGCTTAACACTATTGATTTATTTGTTTTATGAACAAAATAAAACTGTGATAAATCTTACACCATATTTATTCAAAAGGAATTACTTGATCAATTTCCTGGTCGAATTATCACGGCTGAATTACCGAAACTTCCAAGACCGGAAATTGGTAAAGTCATGCCAAGTAAAGTGTTTGAGAAACAAGTAGTGTTTCATCCGGTGATGGAAGAACAAAGAGGTACAATGCCTTTAATGGAAGTTATTCAACGTATTCAAAGACATATCTTTGAAAATCGAATACGTATTTCGGAATTTTTTAAGGTAACTTTAAAACAAAAGTCAAATAAAAAAGTAACAGAATAACAATTACAATCAATAATCATTAATAGAACTTCGATCCTTTGAATGCGGGCAAAACGACGATTTCCAACTTTAAACGAGGATTAGATGGCCTTCAGATTTCGAGCTTAGGACGTCTCTATCTTGCAGAAACGGAAATTGACGCGCTTGTTACGCTTTACAAAGACCCAAATGACCCAGACCGTGTTTGTTGGCGAACATTTGAAGACGACATCGATAAAGGCATTCCTCGAAAAGATTATTTAATTTTTATTTTTTCTATTTTTCAATAATGACTACGAACTTCGTAAAATTAATTAATTTTACGAGATGTTTCTGCTTCATTTGTAGTATTTACTGTGAAAGAACTTGAAAAGTTGCCCACTTTGAAAGTTGAAGTGCCGCCAAAAGAAATAGCAGAACTAAGTCGAAAAGGAGCGTCTCATTGGCTATGTGAAGGAAAAGACATAAGAGATCTTTGTGAAAAAACATTATTAAAAATTCGACATCGAGTCGAGGAAAGGAGAATTTTAATAAAACAATTTTTTAAGAATTACGATCGGTAAAAATACTTCTCTTTAGACATTCCCTTATCATTTCCTTTTCGTTTCTAATAATTTTTCAGACATAACAAAGGTCACGTATCACGTTCGCAATTACGCCAAGTTTTAAGCACCGCAGCGGTATTACTTTCTGAAGAAGAAGAATTTGCATTAGAACGGAGGTATAATAATGATTTAGGTTTTAATTATAATTGGTTTTTAAAAGAATTAGAAGCTCAACGAATCGAAGATCCCTTGTATCATTCCATGGTAAAAGAAAAAAGGCAAATCAATGCTGAGAAACCACCACCGGAAGTCACAGCTGAAGAAACAAATATCGTTTTAATTCTAGCTAAAATCAAAGCAAAAGTTGTACGTGAAAGAATAAAGGTAAATCATGGAGTATGGATATTTTTATATTTTTCCTTTGCATCTTTCATCTGTACTTTTATGGGAAGGTTATCGAATTCATGCGTCAATATGACGTTCATAATGAACACGTTATAAAAAGAACAGAGTTTCTACGAGGACTGGATCAATTACGTTGCAATTTGACTTGCACAGAAATGGGAACTATTATGGATATTTTCCAATCACCTTTAAGGTATATAAATACAGATAATTATTAGTCAAAATCGACTATTTTGACTAATAATATCTACTAGATCATTGTTAAATTAATTAATTTAATCTTTAAAATATTAAAGACCAGATTGTGTAGACTACGTGAAATTTGCCGAAATGGTCGAAGAAGCTGTTACTTTAGGCAGTTTAGAAAGAGCTCCACGTTTAGTACCTGTGCAACATGTACCCTCGGAAGCCAGTCCTAAGACATTCTTGAATTTCGATGAAAGACATATGGTTACAATGGCAATAGACAAATTGAGCAAAATACAACAACCAAATCTCGAGGAGTTGTTCAAGGTAATTAGGATGATTTATGGTTATCCTGACAGCTTGCATTAACAATAAATAAAATGGCTTAGATTTCAGAATTACTTCAAAAATTTTACTGTTAATTGCTATATTTATATTATTATAATTTGCAAAATTTTTGAATTGCAGAACTACGATAAAGAGAATATTGGCTCAGTTTCGAAAGAGTGTTTAATCAAAGTTTTATCTATCAGACGTATGTTAGAATTAATCACCAACAGAGAACTGGACGCTGTGCACAAATGTTTCTCTTTAAAAAGAGATAATCAACTGGAAATTGATTATCGAGCATTTTTGCGCGCTTTATATTTGATGCAAGAAAACAGAAAACATTTGCCGTTTTAGCTCTGTTGAGCATTATAATTAAAAGAAATAAAAATTGTTCATACGTACAGTTTTAGTATTATTGAAGTTTAATAGTGCTAAATGTAAAATTTACATACTTTACTTACAATTAGTCGATATAATTTGGAAAGTTTTGGAAATAATTTTTTTTTTTATTTTAATATACAGAAAATCGCATTATTGTAGCAAGAAACATGAATTTCCATTATAGTTTCTGAAAACTATAGGAAACATAAGTTGGTCTATTATTCAAGAGACCATCCGATCCCCTTATCATTTTCGTATCATATCCAACATTATATTGATTCAATATAGAGTTCATTGACTAAAAATAGAATAGATGTGACATATTGTGGAACATCATGTTTCTTATTTTGAAATATTAAACTCGGAAAAATTGAAAGTATTTCTTGCGCCATCTGGTTTGGTCTTTGCGCCATCCGGCGGACCTTTAATCATTTAGACAATGGATAAATTCTGAAGTATCGATGTGATGAATCACAGATGGCGCCACATGTTATTTACGTGTAGGAACACGTAGTAGGTAATGTAGAATCCTACCACGGGTTCTTACATAAATAATTAAACTCGTATGAATTCTTTGGATAGATATATATTTTGTATTATACACTTTGGTTTCCTAATCACAGCACTTACAGAGCCTCGATGGTAGCGAACGAAGACTAGCAAAAAGAAGAAGAAGGACTTTTCCTCTTCGCAACCCGGTTTTATAGTCTCGGCTTGCGAAGAGGGGGAAAACTTTTTTCCCGCCTTTTTTCGGCTTTTTCCGGGCTTTTATTTTTGCTCGGGAAAAGGTGTCACTGGCTGCTTTAATGGAAACGCACCTTTCGACGGAAGGTTCCTGCGGAAGTACGTGGCGCTGTCTGGTGTTGCACGGAGGTAGTGGTAGCTACATACGCACATTCTATACCATCAGCTATAGTTTCAATTTCAGTTACGAGATGGCCATAGTATTCAGTAAAATGTAGCGACCGCTATCTCCGCGAAACACCAGATAGCGCCACGTACTTCCGCAGGAACTTTCCGTCGAAAGGTGCGTTTCCATTAAAACAGGCAACTACACCTTTTCCCGAGCAAAAATAAAAGCTCGGGAAAAGCCGGAAAAAGGCGGGAAAAAGGTTTTCCCCTCTTTGCAAGCAGAGGCTATAAATCCAGGTTGCGAAGAGGAAAAGCCCTTCTTCTCCTTTTTCGTTTTCTGTTCGTACAAGTCTTCGTTCGCTAATCGAGTGCTGTGAGTAATACATACTAAAGCTCCAATATAAAATATATACCAAAGTGTGTTATACAAAATATATATTTATTCAAAATTCATCTGAGTTTAATTATTTATGTAAGAATCCGTGGTAGGATTCTACATTACCTACTACGTGTTTCCTACAAAAATACAGTTTGTGATTCAGGATAGTATATTTAAAATATATCGCGTCTTTATGAGTGTACACTTTGAAATATGATTTATGTACTATAATTCGACGTATTTTGGTATTTACTTTTAGCGTACATAAATTTTTACATATTTTTAAATAATACGAAAGAACTAAGTTCAATCTTTCTAATGGAATAACAGCCAGGAAAGAAGTTACGAGCTCAACAATGGACTTAGAAACCACGAAATAATTAAATTCTGATTAAGAACCATAACTATAAAAATATTGTATTAGCATCAAAATATCTGACAACAAATAGAATGAACGTGAAAGTGATTGTCGTTGGTTTTATATTCGTTAGCATGCATCGAACGCAGCGAAGTGACAATATAAACAAGTGGAAAGTTTAGTTTTACTTAATGTGTATGTACATGTATATTAAGGAAGGTTAGAATGTCACAGACGAATTTAAAATGTCATCGACCACTTTCCATCTTTCTCCTAACAAGCGTAAAAATTTTTATTTCAACAAAGTGACATCGCAATCCTGTGACCCGTGGCGAAATAGAAATTAGTAATCTTCATACGTGATTCTTCACACGAAAGATCGAGGGACCAACGGTGGTTCTCGAAAGATATTCGATCAGCGCTCGACACGATTTTTCTAAGGTATGATATTTCTGCGGGCCAAAGGCTGCCTACGTTTGCTACGTTCAACAAGGGAAGAATAAGATGTTCTCCAAGTAGGAAGCAGTTGTCGATGAACAAAGTGGGTCACGAGCTGTGACCTCCGCGTCTTTTACACAACCTCGAGGACTCCGCTTCTCCACTTAATTACCTTCACGTCCTCCGTGTATGCGACGCGAAATTTTAGCACATCAAACGTAGCTACCGTGACGAGGAAAAATATTTCAGATAATCAGAGAGAGAGGGAAAGTGAGAGAGGGGTCAGGATTTCTTTATGAGAAGGAAATTGTATGGACGCCTCCGATTAGGAAGGAAAGAAACCATTTTTGAGAGATACATTTTATTATTACGTCTGAAGAAACAATTCGGTAAAGTAACTTATGGCAAATTCCTAGGTTAGCAGGCTTTTCCCAATTTTGACTATTTCGCTACAATTTTTCTTTTTTTTAGGAGCTTCATTTCGTTTTTAAAATGGGAAATTAACCGAGGGAAGAAATTATATAGTTCTTGTGTCTTTTTAAAGAAAACGTTGTGTTAAGAAATTTCTTTTTTCATGTCACAAAGATATTTTATATATTATATATTTTAAATATTGTATTCATAATTTAAATCATATAGATTATTCTTACTATTTGCTTACTAGCGTTTTACATAAACATTCGGTACTCGCCGCACACACCAAATAGTTGTGTTTATCATTAGCTTGTGAATAGCTCTGTTTATGTTTGTAACTTTCTTGACCTTCCTGATTGATTACTCTCTTGTTTTAGTGATGAACTGACCCTCTTATTGAAGAAACGGTAGCAAAATAGCCAAAACTAGAAATTTACCTTATTTATTTATATGAATAAATAATTTAGCAATTTGATGATGCAGGAAGAAAATTTGTTTAGTAATTCTAATTCTAATTAAGAGTTATACACGTGTGCTATGCAAGTTCATGTATACTATGAAATGTACGTAAAAAACGTTACGTAGATAAATATTTCACAAGAACGTCGGCTCACGCTTGTTAAATTTTATACATGTAATTATTGTAGATATATCTAAAAGTGAGCTTCTTTTCTCATGTTCCTCTACCATTTTTGTAAAGAAGTTCCCATAACTATTCCTCTGTATTCTTTTAGTGTACTTTTAATGATTTGTGATTTTTTAATTATGTGGCTTGTAATTATAATAACAATTAGCTATAATTAGCTACAAAGTTCGAAGTAAAGAATTTAGAATGGAGAAAAACTAAATTACCTACAAAGATAATAATACTACTTTTTTTTCATTCTTATTGCATTTCCATTGCAAGAATTTGATTTGATAGTTACCTGATTATTTCTGATGATATGAAACATCGTTGTCAGACGATGATGTTTATTTTTGTTTCTAAGCCAGTTTGATTGAAATTTACGTTTGCCTTTTATCTTTCCAGAGAGTCCAGAGAGTCACCAAAGCATCAAAATGAAATTGACCTTTGCGCTTCATTACATTTGCCTAATTGCCACTTTTGCTGCCGCTGGTACCACTGCCGCAACCAATCAAAATCTCCAAAAACAGAAATCGCTGGGAACACAGATAAAATAGTTGTTTTACTTTATTCTATGGGTTACTACAGTATTTCGAATGTAAATGATCTAGTCTTGGTCTTCGACATGGTAAGATTTGCAGCAAACACTTATAATGCTCGTTTCTTCAGCACTGATGATTTTAAAACATGAAAGTGGAAGTTCATGAAATGCTTTACCCTAAAGTCAACAGCTCAATCTTGAATAATTCGTGTTCGTTTGTAGTCGAGCATTGTTTTACAAATTCTCTTGAATTCTCTTTGCCATCCACAATACCTTGTCCTATGGTATATCAATCCCAACTTAACATTACAAGAATTTCCCATGAGAGATAGAGTTGCTTCATTCATCTCTGTCAACCCCTCACGATATGTCATTCTGTTTCATTATCGGATGATAATATAGTAAGCAATGTACAAATATAAATATACAAACGTGAAAATTTCTATTAGAGTATGCTACATAAGAATGACTATATTATTTATATGAATGAATGATATGAATTATATTACTAATCAGTGTTGTAAATTTTGGAGGACTTTCAAAATTAATGTAATGAATTCTATGATGGTAACGCACAATGCATAGTGTGTTATGTGAGCGAGAGAGGTTGCCACTTTTATTTTAAAATGCACGCACAACATCCCTTCTACGAGAACATCACGTGTGTCACGACGCGTCCAGTATAAGAGCCACGGACTCGAGTTGCCCTTGATACCCGTGGAACCCGGTTCCAACGTATCCTGTTACGACGTTCCGGAGTGCACGTGCCTATTGTCGTCTGGTGCTTCACCTGACACGTGGCAATTTTCAATTCCCCAGTTCGTACGACACGGACTGCTTGACTTTTTGATGTGACACTTGACAGAGGAGCTAACCCCGCTTGAATCCCCTTCGCCTAACAGCATCTGGCTGTTTTATTCTTTTTAATTAGAATGCATGATTAAACGCTTGCCAGCAAGTATCAGATGACATAAAAAGTTTTAATTGACAGTGAAAATATGAAAATCAGAATGTTAAGCATCCTCTGTGCAATTCTTACAACTGTATTAAATAAGTTAAACACAAGATTTATGACACAAAATTTGTTCTTGCCAGGTCTTACGACATGATAAAACATGGTAAAAAGTTATAAAGATATTATTTTTTTAATAGTCTATATATTTATCTTTGGTTTTTATATCAGAAACAAAGCGAGAACCATAAATCTCTTCCTAAATATAGTTGTACACAGAAAAGTAGTTTTGAACAATTTACATATTTTAAAATATTAATAATATATATTGATAAAATTCATCGTATTAAATTATTGACAAAACAGAATGTTACATTAGTGGTTATTCATTAGTAGTAAAAGTTTAAGCAATAATACATTTAATTCTCATTATACATTTATATACATATATATAATATTTACTTATTACGCATTTTATGTTGCAAGACGCTCCGTGATAAAATCAAGTTCTCGAACATAGAGGGTGGTTCAGTACTGGAGTCTAGATATAAAAGCGAAGGTATAATTTCTAGATCCGAAAGAGTGGGTCAAGTGATATCGACCATACAGAAGCAGAAGAGATATAGGAAGATTCGGTTTCGCGATTCATTCTGGAAGCATCTTTGTTTAGCCTGAACGACCAACTATATTTGCTCTTTCACATTGTGTCGTCTACCAGACCAACTAGGTATATTTGTCTATGCTTTCTGTTGACCTATAGCAAACGTGGCGGCAACGATGCAATTTATTGCTCAACCATTAATAGCTTTTCCCGTATTCAGCTTTTTTTTTTTTTTACTTCTGACGTCAGCATTGGCCATGCCTCGCCGGATGAACTTGCACGACGAATGCATTTTATTTAAAGTACGACGAGTGAAGTACACCGAGGTACGCGAGACAAGTGAAAGTCGTGGACGAATCAGAACGTAAATCTAGAGTGTGAGAAGTGACTTATATTCGTTAATTAATAGGTACCGTTTCAATTGAACGGCTGCTGACTTTATCCTACAATCACCGATTGATTCTTTCATCTACGGTTTTTAATTGCTTATTAAAACTCTTGATAAACTAGACTAACACGAACGAGAAATTTTTGTTCGTTAGTAGAATTCTGAGGAAAATAAATCGTTTAATTATTGTACATCAAAGTTTTGTAATTAAAAATTAGCACTAGGAACGAGCTTAGATAGATTTTATTTGTTTAATAAATTGTAGCTTTTCTCAAAAAGAACTATGAAAAGTATCGATTCTGTCTAACTTTTTGCATGCTGTTTTTTTAAATCAATAATTAATTAATAATATCTGTAATGATGCGCATTCATGCAAAATTTTAATGGGCAATTAAAAAATGTAAATTGAACGAGTCATTGCTCTTCATCTTCTTTATTAAAATTTTATCCTTTTTTTTTTTTAATATGTTTGTTCTGAATGACACATTCGTTAATTTAATATAACGTTATACATCTTTGTCAATTCATTCATTGTTATGCACAACGATTACGATGTATGACGCGAGGCTCATGCGTTTTATAGTGTTTCGTTTACGAGGTCATACGCCTTTCCACCTTCATTGACGCGATCCTCGACCATTACCTTCCTCCAGTTTACGTGTACGCGCAGTCTCACCTGGAAGACCTGCACACCTCGCGATAGATCTCTGACTCATACAGCTGATCAATGACACCTACGTTACCTACAATTCTCACGTCGATCAATAATCGCAATCAATAAACACCTGAGTTATAGAATTTCTTTAAGGACTTGTTTCCCGAGCGATCACCTTTTATAAACGAGTAAATAGAGGGAAATGATAGGTAGTACGCAAAATTGATTATTTGAAAAAAATTTATTCTCAATATTCAATGTATTTAAATGATTCCTAATCTTTTACTGTCCACATTCCTCCAATTCCTCCTTCTGTTTCAGGAATCGTTCAACCATCCAGAAACAGTCAACTATACTTGCGGTGCTTACGTCACGCTTCCCCGTGAAGCAACAAATCTCTTCCCAAAATCCAATGACCAAATGTCACACAGTTGCGATTTTGTTTTTAACGAAATTGAATCTATTCATTCGCATTGACCCGAGCGAAGTGGGAACTCGATTCGATGGTGCTTGCTGCGTTTCCGCCCACCTAGATTTTCTTTGGCTCGTGTAATTAGCCGAACTAGCCTAACTTACCTGTAATCACATGGTAAGATACCTGTCCAGAGAGAGAGAGAGAGAGAGAGAGAGAGAGAGAGTGGTGCCCGTTCAGCTGGATTTCTCTCGTTGATACGCGTGAACCACGGGAAGAGAGAAAAAGAGAGAGTGAGAGAGAGGGAGAGAGAGAGAGAGAGAGAGAGAGAGAGAGCTCATGTCTGTCGCGGTATTTTAGGCGCAGACTCGCGGTTCTTCACCGAGTCCACGCCCCCGACTTCGATCCCGTCAGGGGTTCGAGAGAGGAGTGTGGACACGGAGAGGGAAGTAGTGGTGGGCGGATAACAGAGAGGCACGAATTAGAAGGGTGAGCGCGAGCGAGATGCGAGCACAGCGTGAGGGTAGCACGCACCCCCCCGTGAGTCTGTATGACGTCACGAGGGTCGAATCAATATCACGGAACCATTCCTCCGCTGCCGGTCCTTGACTACGAGAAAGATACCGACCGTTCAGTACGGGGTGGCCTCCACGACCGTTAAGGACACCGAGAGCGCGTCGTTCCAACGAGAACGACCACGGTGACAACGGCGACGACGACGACGACGACGACGACGACGACAACGACGATAAAGAGGAAGACGAGGACGAGAACAACTGTCGCGGCTATTGCACTCGTTACTCGTCATCCTCCGGTACTTCCGCCACATTTTTACGTTAGATTCTCGCGTCCATGGTATCGTCATCTTCCTTCGCGCGGTCCCACGATTTTTCATAGTCGTCGTCCGCTGATTTTCAAAGAAATTCTACGCAACCGTGAATGATCCGCGCTCAACAGTGCGATCGGCAAGAGATCGTTAAATTGTTCGCCACCTGCGAACGGTTGAAACGTGCGCGAGTGGTAGAAAGGGTTTCGAAGACCGAGAGAGCATCAAAATCGGTGTACCTGTAAGTACAGTTTTCCCTCATCGATTCTGCAGTTCGATAGCTTTTGTTTGACGAATGAGAGTTTCACAGACTCCCCCCGCTGATGGCTTTCAACCTAGATAGAGTTGTTTTATGTACCACACACGATCAATTTTGTGTACCGCGTTGTCTGCTGTTGTTGTTCAGTTCTCTGGTGATGGATTATGCGTGACACCGTTAGCTGTCGCCAAAGTTGTTGCGATCTACCGAAGAAAAATACTTTCCTGCGAGGGGAAAAAAGTCGACTGGTATCGGTTACATAAGACGCACTCTTCCTCATACGTATACGCGGTTACGATATTTCCTGGGAATAATTTCGCAGGGATGCAACGTTCGTCATCGTCGTGCCGTTCAATCACAACACATTAATTAGAATAAGTCACTTTACAAGTTACAGAAATTAATACAGAAATTAACAGCAAAGACGTTTTGCTATTGATATTATCGTGAATGTTCAAATTACAAAATATGTGCATTGACACTCGTGCAACGGACGATTCCTCTTCTTCTCTAAAAGTACGATTAGAAAGAAAAGAATTCGATTATATTCGATCGCTCGTTCGGACAGAGCGAAAGCTTCAAATCCCGCTACTACATTCGTCTCTGTTTTCACGGAACGACATACGTGAAGACACGTATCTGGGTGGATGCAGCTGGATGTATTTCAGATTCGGGTGGAGGACCGTACTGATCGACAGGATCGGTACTGGTGCCGTTGGCGACGAAGTAGAATCTCGAGGAGGAAGGAAAAGCAGCTGAAGGGAAGCAGCCACGCTTGGTGAGTTGGGTGAAAATCGATGGCCATCAGCGCCCATGGGCGGCCTCGCGTTTAGAACAAGGAATAGCCCCTCCCAGAAGACCTCGCTCCGGTGGGGCGACTGCTGCCCCCCAAATCCCAACCCTCCGTCGTCGTCGGCCGTCTGGAAGGACCATCATCAGGACATGCCGCCGGTACCCGTGTGAGGCTGTCCCCCACTACTTCGTGATTGTACCCCTCGGGGTCTTCAGAGGTATTCCTCATTAATTCTTACCTCACGCATTCTTCCATTTCCTCCACATTTACGCATGCCTCCCCGCATAAGCTACCGCCTCGTGTACTCTTTCACGTTATGGTTAAGCCGTAGTTGTCACTGACTCACCACTATCCCTGCCTCTCCGTGTCTCCTCCTCTTCGTGCGTGGCAAAGATTTGAATTTGAAAGGCTATATTTTAGTTGCGGGCTATATTACAGTTGCGGGCAATAGTAAATTTGTCGAGCGTTGCTCGTGTCAGCTGATGAGTATCGCGATCTTTTTATAAATCGCGTAGAACATCAAATGTAGATTCGCAGAGTTTTTTTTTCTTTTTTTTTTTTATTTTTACACGATATTACTTTTTTTTTCTTTTTTGTTAAAATATGCAACTTCAAGCAGAGAACTTGATTTGTGTAGTAACTTTAAGTTAGCGAAACTTTTTTTAAAATTAGTAATACTGATATGTAAACCTTAACTTTGTTATTGCAAGGAAATTTTAATAGACAGAACTCTTTCAATTTCAATGTCATTTCAAATAAGTGCCCGTCTCGCGCGAAGAAAATGATACAGCTTTGTCTGTTGATTTCGCTGCACTTACTGACAAGAACCTTGAACCTTCGCGTTTTATTTTTGTTATCTTGCTTTTTTACGTTAATGGGACTATGTGTTTTACTTTTTTTTTTTTTTTTTTTTTTTTTTTTTTTTTTTTTAAAAANTTTTTTTATAGAAAAGTTAGCTCTGTATAGTGTGAAGCAAGACTAATGGGATTAGAGGGTGAACTCAGCCGGGCGATTTAAATGCCTTCTGGGTAGGAGCATAGAGTTTACACTTAACTGCACGCATTAGACGCGAACTGATCGACCACGACGTTAATTGACTAGAAAAGCAGAATGCAATTTCACCAAGGTGATTGAATTCAGAAGGAAATGTAGATTTAATGATACTGTAACATTCGAATGTAACACTGCGATATTAATCATTAAATATTCAATAAGTAATGTTTCTTAAAGCAATTTTATTTTATGCTTTAAAAATTTATTAGTTGAGTTTGTTTAATGACAAGTTAATTGAGTATAGAGTTAACTATAATTAAAGCCCTAGTTGTTGAGTGAATTTAATTGCATGAAATACAGCTTGTTGCAATAATTTTTCCAACATGGCGTAGTTTCGTTATATAAATTAAATACAATGTGTTGTATTATACTTGTTTGATCGAGACTAGGAAAAGATAGAGAAAACTTTCATACATCTACGGAAATCGTTTAGCGTTGCAGTTAATATAATTTTAATAGTAGCCTTGTAATCCTAACAGTTCGCTGTTTTTTCATTACCCATCGCTTCTCAATTTCTCTGTTGCTTTTCTTTTCTTGACTTCGACTATCCGTGGGCAAACTAGGTTGTTGTCGACTTAAGAGGAATTTTGTGCCTTAGATTTCTTGCCTCTGGATTTTTCATCCTTATTGAAAGAAGTTTCAAATATTTATGAGAAATTTAAGAGCGAAGAAATGCATAGAATATATTATAACAATATGTTTGTACTAGAGCGAAGAAATGCATAGAATATATTATAACAATATGTCTGTACTTTTAACGAGGGATCGTTATGATTCTTCTGATTTTCTGATCTTCATGGATGCCAAGACCCTGTTTTAGAAAATTATAATCAATCCATTTTCTTCTTTTTTCAAACTAGAATCTGTGATCTATACGTATTATCGCGCAGTGCGTTCGTTGGTCAAAGAAAAAATTGTCTCAAAATAAAATTAAGGGATGAAGCAACTCTACTTACTTTCTATTCACAAACACAAATTTCCATGAACATTTATAGCCACATCGTATGATTCATTCAACTATGATTATTCAAAAGTCGAAACCCCAAACTACAAAACTACTTTTCTAGACGAACAGAATCCAGTTTGCCTACGGCGGTTTGATATTATCAACGATCAATTATCCCTCGAAATTATCCTCTAAATGGAGCTTGTCTCCTTCCATTTGTAAACAGGTATCCGAATCTCCCAAAATCAGATCGACCGCCATACTTCTCGGACTTGCGTCTCCGTCAGTTCGAGTTCACGCAAGTGGACCCGTACTCCCCGAAGATGATCAACTTTGCCGGTCTCGTCTCAATCGTTCTGTTCTACGTGCTGATCCTGGCCGTAGGAATATGGGCGGCCAGGAAGAAGGAAACTGGCAACGATTCCGAGGAGGAAGTGATGCTAGCTGGTCGTTCGATCGGCCTGTTTGTCGGGATATTCACGATGACAGCGACCTGGGTCGGCGGTGGTTATATCAACGGCACCGCCGAAGCGATCTACACGAGGGGCCTCGTTTGGTGTCAGGCTCCATTCGGATACGCCCTTAGCCTCGTTTTCGGTAAGTTTTACCGCGGAACTCTTCGCTCCGTTGATGATCGTCGGAGGGTTGAAGGTCATAGCTCGAAATATTCTGTATCTATTGCATTACAATGTTATCTTGCGACAATATATTTTCCTTTTAATTTTTCTGCCGTATTTTATCTATTAAAATATATTATAATTTGCTATATTATCGAAAAAGAATGATCTGATATTTGCTTTCGACATAAAACGCCATTAACCCTTCGAGTTTTAACGTCGAGTTACACACGTAGTAGGAATTACGGTTCCGATTCGATGGTAAAAGCAAATTGTAGCCCCCACGTGAACGTGAATTTGAATTTTCAATTTTAATTCTTCAAACTGAGGAGTAATAAATGCAAACTATATGTATACAGTTCAATGTTTTACATTTGACACGATGCAACATGTTATGGTAATTAACGTTCAGTTAGAAGACTGAGAAGAAAATCGTAAAGCAATTAATATTAAATATTAATATTGAATATTAAAATAATATCTAAAAGAAAGAAAAATGTTTTATAATACGTTTGTAAAAGTTAGTCAGAACAATGTCAGTTCAAAAATTAATAAACGATTAAACTGTTAGCATTTTCTAGTGATTTATACAAAGACTTGCCTAATATACATGTATATATATATATAATTAACGTATATTTATAATTTTATATATATATATATATAATTATATATTTATAATATTATAATATTATATTTTATATATAAAAATTATATATTTATATATATAAATTTTATATATAAAAATTATATATTTATATATATAATTATATATTTATAATATTATAATATTATATTTTATATATAAAAATTATATATTTATAATTACGTACATTATGTATAATTATATATATATATATTATATATATATGTACTTATCCGTGAGAAATATTATGTAATTTGTTTACTTGTGGTTTAATTTTTCTCTAACTTTGCATATATTTAGCAAATGTATGTGCAATAGTATAAAAACAATTTGTTTCGATAAATTGCAATTTGTTACACAATTTTTGTATAATCAATTATTTTCTATCACGCCGTTCGATTACTTTCGTTGCACGCTGTGTACACTGCTTTTGATTCGATTGAAGATATTTCTCTCGCGTCTATTTTTTTCTCAGTTAGAAAAAGCTTATGATCGTTTGAGAACTTCGCAGTTCTTGCGGCGTAGTATAGCATGGTAATAGATCGCTGGTAATGAAGACTCCTACGTATAATAACTTTCTAACGTGGTCGAATGGCCTCGAGAAAGAATAACATGGTGTGTATAACCATCCATTGAAACTATAGGCGCCTATTCACTGAATGATTGTATGAAAAATGTATACGCTATATAATGACGTGTACAGCTTGGCAAGGAATTTGGAAAATTCTATACCAAATTGCCGGATCTCTGTGCAAATTCCCTGTTTCTACGATACACGTGTTGTATATTTCATTTAAAAAGAACTGTACTTTTAAATAGCTCGAGAGAAATACTCGTGAAATAGAAACTTGTCTAACCCGAATAATGATATATTGTAGTTATCAATCGTATAAACATTCTGCGAATTGTTTCCCAAATTTATAACTTGCCACACCCATAAATGATACGCAGTAGCAAATTGTTAAAAACAATATTAACATCGAATACGCATATCGATTCGATACGACTCGATTTGACTAATTTATCAGTATTAATCGCGTTGCAGGTGGTATATTCTTCGCGAACAAAATGCGAGAACAGGGGTACATCACGATGTTAGATCCTCTTCAAGATGCGTTTGGCGAACGTATGGGAGGTCTTCTGTTTCTTCCTGCCCTCTGTGGCGAGGTCTTCTGGGCCGCAGGTATTCTGGCAGCCTTGGGCGCGACGCTGGCGGTCATCATCGACATGGATCAGGGTGCCTCGGTCATTTTGAGCGCCTGTATCGCTGTTTTCTATACACTCTTCGGAGGTCTTTACTCTGTTGCTTATACCGATGTTATTCAACTTTTTTGCATCTTCATAGGATTGGTAAGTTGGAGCCAAGTTTATTCCACCGCTCTCACTTTATTCAGAGAAATAAAAAAATGTAGATACGCTTTTTCTACATCACGATGTTATATATTACAAAATAAAAAAGAATACAAGTTTCCTTACGAGAGAGTTTTATAATTTCTTATTATTTAAACGATATCAATACTTTTCAGAACGCCATCGACATAGGGGGAGTTATAATCATAATTTGGAATTCCGTTTCTTTTTTTTTTCTTGGATTTCGCTTTACTAAATCTCTTCTATGTAATTTAATGCACAGTGTATACTTCGATAAAGAAAAGTCATTTGTCACATTATTTATGTACGCTTTGGCTTAAATCTGTTACGATAACTTTCTCCTTTGCTCGATAAGGAATCGATAAATCAAATCATTCTTTCTATAGGTTATTGTTATATTTATTTACAGTTAACTCTTGTTTCATAAAGGCCTTTGGGGAAATTTGTCATGCAGGGTTGCAACTGGCGAAGGTTATCATCGATTTTACTCTTACTGCTTTTGCGAACATGTTCGATATTTTGTTGCAATACATTCTGCTTGAAGTAATTGAATATTTATTTCTCAGAAACAAAAAATTTCCCGTTTCTTAAGTACATTTTCTCCGTTTTGTGTCGTTACGTACTCTGCAAAATAAAATGATCGATGTTACGAAAATAACACTGTATCGCGTTGTCAAGTGGTTTCTATTTAAAGCAATACATTATTAAAACATAAGGTTTTATTTCATCGAGTTGCCCGGTTATCTAGAGAAAACCGGCTTTGCAGATCGATAACAGGGGCTCAAGTACGCGTATTTATATTACCAAATTCATTCAATGTTACGTAGACAGTGACCTACTTTGTCCGTCGTTATCAAGTCGTTTATTCCAAAAACTTGTCAGCTTGAAGAATTGAGAAAAACGTAGAATATTCTCTTGAGGAGATCAGAAATAACCTGAAAATGACTTTTGATCTTTCAATTTGCATTCTAACGAAATGCAGAAGTATTTCGTCGCGTCGCGATGATGACGTACAATTTTTTAAACAGACATTGTCACGATTCTGTTTATAGTGGATGTGCATTCCATTCGCTTGGGCTAATCCGAAAGTACAATCTCTCAAATCCATGGAGGTGGACTGGATCGGCGAGGTGAAACCAGATGAGTATTGGTCTTACATAGATTATGGACTTTTATTGATATTCGGCGGCATCCCCTGGCAAGTATACTTTCAACGGGTTTTATCTTCGAAAACGGCTGGAAGAGCGCAACTGTTGAGTTACGTGGCTGCGGCGGGCTGTATGCTCATGGCCATCCCTCCTGTTCTGATTGGCGCGATCGCCAAAGCAACGCGTGAGTAAAATTCTTACTTTAACCAAACATGTTTATACTTTTTCTTTTTTTGTTAATCCACTGGAGAAACTAACCTTACGCCAGAGAAATTTTGTTTTGTTAATATCACGGAGGTAGAGGCAATTCTAAAAAACGAATTGAAACGTTTGTAACGTCTCCATTGCTCAATTCCTGACGAGTTGCAACAACATTCTCGCGCTCTTAAATTTCTGTAAAATTTTCCTTCGGACGCGCGTAGACTGTAACAATTGACTGTATGATGCTTATTTATTACTTCGTCCTTGCACTATTTATTCGCACGCGTTATATTACAACATGAAACATTCAAGACGAAGGATGTTCGTACCATAAATAAGCGCCATCTGAGCTCTCTTATATATCATCCGGCGGCGACCTCGTGTTTTACGACAACGAGTCGTAATTCTCGCAATTACTCTGGATAATTTCACCGGTAGAATTTCCCGAGAGAACAATCGTGAGATTTTTGCAAATTCGTTCGAATCCGCACGTTCAAACACGTTCCAGCTGTTCGTTCGTTAGAACGAACGGAGGCTAATTCTAATTTCATCGCGTATTAATAATAAACGAGTGGTTTGTTCGGGTCGTGTCTCTCTACGTGTCACCTCTTCGGCTTTCGTCCGAGGGGAAGAGAAACACGTTTTCATGGGTGCCCGAATCTAAAGGGGATTGAATTAGACCCGGTTTGCACGTCATCTCCCCCCCTCAGCTCGCGTTTCTAGGCTACTTGACATTTGGTAGCACTGCAGAGAGAGGACTACTGGTATTTACAAGGTTCCTGGGCTAAGTAGGTCGGTGTTGTAACGGGAAGGGTGTGTGTGTGTGGGCGAAGGGTGCCTCGATATCCCACAGCGTGTACAATAGCGTGGGATTTTATCATATGGTGTTCTCCCGGGACCGAGGGCGAGGGTGATAATGCGAGTCGTACACTAACGTAGGGCACAATGGAACCGCTGGAACTAATACGATACACTGTATCGGTATCTCGTGTATTTTTATTCCGTTACGCAGAGATAAATAATTTCTTATCTGGCGGATTCTTTTTTTTTTTTTCTTTTCTTTTTTTCATATATTCGAGCACGTTATCAGAGGTTAGATTTATGGGGAAATGAGTGGCGAGATAATAAGTATCGTACACTCGTGTAATGTTTAATTATTCCCTCCTAGTCTGATTGCTTTTGCTAATTGTAACGCTCAAGTGACATCGTTGACACGCAATTTTACAACAGAGATTAGCAACAGTACAATTGGAAATTTTAAATTGAAATTAAAAATTTCAAAGTTGATTGTTGTTATTGCTTTCTGCACTGTTATTGTTAGCCAGTGATGCCCAGTTGAGAGTTAACGTCATTTAGTTAATTCCCTCACGTTTTTCAATTTCATATCGAAATCAGATTGATCATTACTGCGACTTTCTCAAAACGACTCGTTTAACAATCTGTTGTAGCTTGGAACGAGACAGGATACAACGGTCCATATCCTTTGACCGAAACAGAAACAAGCATGATTCTGCCAATGGTTTTGCAGTATTTGACGCCAGATTTCGTTTCCTTTTTTGGGTTAGGCGCAGTGTCAGCAGCGGTGATGTCTTCGGCGGATAGTAGCATCCTTTCGGCTAGTTCCATGTTCGCCAGAAACGTTTATAAATTGATCTTCCGTCAGAGGGTAAGTTCTCCGTCCTTACGTAGATGGTCGTTTATCTGTTTTTAATTTCGTGCTGTGCCCATGCATTTTAATCGTTCGACGAAATCTCGCCTGAAATCATCGCTTCTAATTTTATTTGACATCACGTGTCGCACATATCATCATTGCCAAGCAATTATTTTCATCTCATTGTTCATCGTTATCATTATCATCGTCATCACCATCATCATGCGTTCTCCATCTTCGATTGTGGCGTTGAAAGTGGTTGCAAAATTCGAGTGTAGTAACTGTTTCGAGGATCGATTTTTCATTGCTTCTCGAATGAAGACGGAGACGAACGTAACGAAAAAAAAAAAAGAAAAAAAAAGAAATTGAAATCCATATAATCACCGGACAGTTGATCCGTTGACGAACAAGGCGAAGTCAGGACTGCGACAACGCTTTAGGTATCGATCAGCTCCCTCCGAGTAATGAAACGACCATGCAGTTTCAAATAGTTCTCGTATCCAAACACGTGATACGCAGATTCCTTCCAACCGTGTCAGTACTTCACACACGCGTGAATATGGATCACACGTTATCGATAAACGATCCCCTCGTGCGTATCGCAATTCATTTAGTTGTGCAGTTTCACGGGCAAAACGTAACAGTGTGTCCAGAAAAAAAGAAAAAAAA